ACCACCCCGCCATGACCGTTCCTCATTTTTTTGTGTTTTACGGCCAAAAAAGTAGAATTCCGCCCGATTCCCATATTTTCGTGTGTTATAGTCCACGCCTTTCGAGTGGGCCCGAGCAGCCCCGGAACAAAACCGCAAAAAAAAATTCAGGCTATAAAATATGACCTAAGGAACCATAGTCACCGCCTCACCATGACTGTTCCTCGTTCTTTTTTTCGACCAAAAAACTAGATTTCACCCTGATTACCATATTTTCGTGTGCCGCCTTCCGAGTGGGTCGCGCCCCTCTGGACCCGGATCGCCTTAAATTTTTTTGGGCCATCAAATACGACCTAAATAACCATACTCACCACCACACCATGATCGTTCCTCGTTGTTTTGCTTTTTATGGCCAGGAAATTAGAATTTTGCCCGATTCCCATATTTTCGTGTGCTATAGCCCACGCCTTCTGAGTGGTCCCGGGCCTCCCGGAACTGGATAGCCTAAAGTTTTTCGGACCATCAAAAACAAATTAAGGAACCATAGTCACCACCCCGCTATGACCTTTCCTCGTTGTTTTGCGTTTTACTACCAAAAAATTAGAATTCCGCCTGATTCCCATATTTTCATGTGCTACAGCCCACACCTTCCGAGTGGGGCCGGGTCCCCCTGAACCGTATCGTCTAAACATTTTCCGGGATATCAAATACGACCTAAGGAACTATAGTCATCGCCCATCCATGACCGTTCCTCGTTGTTTTGCGTTTTACGGTTAAAAAACTAGAATTCCCTTCGATTCCCATATTTTTGTGTGTTATAGCCCATGCCTTCCGAGTGGGCCCAGGCCCCCGGGTCCTCGAAATCGGATCGCATAAAATTTTTTCGGGCGATCAAATACGACTTAAGAAACTATATTCACCGCCCCTTGATGATCGTTCCACATTCTTTTGTGTTCTATGGCCAAAAAAGTAGAATTCCGCCCGATTCCCATATTTTCGTGTGCTATGGCCCACGCCTTCCGAATGGGCCCGAGCCCCCCGGAACCGGATCGCCTAAAAAAATTTTGGGCCATCAAATATGAACTAAGGAACCATATTCACCGCCCCGCCATGGACTTTCCTCATTTGTTTGCGTTATACGGCCAAAAAACTAGAATTTCGCCCGATTCCCATATTTTCGTGTGTTATAGCTCACGCCCTAGGACCCTGATCGCCTAAAAATATTTCGGGACAAGAAATACGACCTAAGGAACTATACTTACTACCCTACCATGACTGTTCCTCGTTGTTTTGCATTTTACGGCCAAAAAACTAGAATTCCGCCCGATTCCCAGTCCATATCGGTCAAGCATCTATAATGCTTCAAAACCTGCTTGGCTCTAATATGTATTTCTTGGATGATCAATCTGACAATAACATTTGCAGCACTCTTCTTCTTCTGGAATATGGCATTATTTCTTGCTTGCCAAATATGGAAGACTGTTGCGGCTAGCACCATTCTGCATATTGATGCTCCTGCACTCTTCCCTTTGGCCATCTTTTCTATCCATTGTAGTTATTCCTGCCATTCTGTCGTTCTTCCTTTGATGCCTTGCCATTGTAAAAGATTCTACCATATAATTGATGACATTTCACACTCAAAGAACAAGTGTTGTATAGTTTCATTTTCTCTTTGACAAAGTGAGCATGTTGTGTCTTCTATGATTCCCCATCTTGCTAGCCTTTCTTTTGTAGCTAGCCTATCTTTTATTGCCAATCTTAAGATGAATATCCACTTTGGAAGTCCATGGTTATTGCAAACCAACTTTCTCCATGGCACCTTCTGAAATCCCCCTTGCAATGCTTTATATATGTGTTTTATAGAGAACTTCTCTATCTTAGTCACTTCCTCTTGTGAATATCCAGCATCCTCAAACTATCTTTTGGCCTTGAAGATATTTTGGATAACCACGATGCACTCTTTGGCTTTGTATTCCAGATAGTATTCCCCTTTATGTAGTAAGCATGTATCCACTGAACCCACACTTTTTCCTTCTGTGTGCAGATGTTCCATAAGAGCTTGCATAGAGCTTCTTTGTTCCACAATTCCACATTGATGAAATTTAAGCCTACTGCTACCTTTGGAGCACACAATTTATCCCAGGCAATCAATGCCTTCTTAGTAGGTTCAACACTCCCCGACCATAAGAATCTCCTGCATATTGTTTCTATGAACAATATGATCTTTTTTGGCAGAATAAAGATTTGAGCCCAAAATGTCTGATTGCCACTAGTACACTCTTGATTAGCATTGATCTACCTGCATATGATAGAAACTTTATTGTCCAACACTGTATCCTGCTCAGCATTCTATCAATTAGGGGTTCACATTGCATTGCTGTCAGCCTCATTGTGCTCAAAGGTACTCCAAGGTACCTGAAAGGTAATTCCCTTTTAGTGTACCCTAACATGTCCAAAATATGCTACTATGTTCTGTTGTCCACTCCTCCAAAATAAATGCAGCTTTTATTTGAGTTTGCAATTAGCCCTGATGCCGCAGAGAAAATTAGAAACGATTTGTGTAGGCTCTTGACTGACTGTATATCTCCTTTACAGAATAGTAATAAGTCATCAGCAAATCCCAATTGTACTAGATTGACTTTAGTACATTTTGGGAGAAATTTTAATTCCTTGTTCTCCTTCAATTGCTTTAGCAGTCTGCATAGATACTCCATGGCCATCACAAATAGAAATGGTGATAAAGGGTCCCCCTGTCTAAGTCCTTTCCTTGACTCGAATGGCTTGGTTAGCTTGCCATTGATTATAACAGAAAAAGAAACCATGCTAATACATACCATTATCCACTTCACAAGCTTTTCAGGAACTCCCAGCAATCTCATCACCTGCTCAATATATTTTGTGGAACTCCCATTCCACAGAATCATAAGCTTTTTGCATATCAATCTTTAGCATGCACCTTGCTGATATATTCTTCCTCCCATAGCCTTTTACCAATTCATGACTCATAATGATGTTGTCTGTGATCATCCTTTCTAGCACAAAAGTTGTTTGGCAATTATCAATAAGGTCTGGTATGACTACCTGCAATCTTGTTGTTAGAATTTTTTATATTGTCTTATATAGTACAGTGCAACGGGATATAGGTCTAAACTCCATTATGCTATTAGGGTTCTTTACTTTAGGAATCAGAGTAATGGTGGTACAATTGATAGCTTTACATATTTTTGCACTTTCAAAGAACTCCATCACTGCTTCAATAACCTCATCACCAAGTATATGCCATGTCTTCTTAAAGAAAAATAAATTATAGCCATCACATCCCGGTGCTTTGCTGTCATCAATGTCCAGTATTGCTTGTTTGATTTCTTCTCTTGTGACTGGCTTGATTAGCTATAGTTGTTGTTTCTTGCTCAACATATATCCCTTCTGCATGATTTCTGTGTTGACTATTGGTAATTGTAGAGCTGTTGTGCCAAGTAACTTCTTGTAGATGTTCAGAATTTATTTTTCCACTTCATTTGAACTCTGGAGTATTTTCCTTGTACTGTTAACTAGTCTGCCAATATGATTTGTTGCTTGCCTATTTTTCACACATGCATGGAAGTATGATGTGTTTGAATCCCCTAACTTGAGCCATTTAATTCTTGATTTCTGCTTCAATATAATCTCCTCCACCTCTAGCCATTTAGCCAATTCTAGTTTTGTAGCCTTTTCATGTGCTACTGTCTCACTGTGATTTCCTGGTCCTAGCATTTGAGCCTGTATACCTTCCAGTTTAGTTCTTACTGCTTGAATCTTGTGCCCAATGTTGCTAAATTCTTGACTATTCAACTGTTTCAGGTCCCCCTTTAACATTTTGAGCTTATTCCAGACCTTTAACATTGCATTTCCTTATTTCCCCTTTACCCAACATTGCTTAACTGTATCATCAAAGTCTTTATGTTGTGCCAAACAGTTTAGAAATTTGAATGGTCTTCTTCCAGCTTGGTTATTGTCATCAAAAGTTATGCTCAAGGGGCAGTGATCAGAAAATCCAGGATTCATTATAATTCCTTCCATAGCAGGCCATTTTTGAATCCATTATGCATTAGCTTGAATTCTATCAATTCTGCTGTGAACATGATTGTTTGTCCAAATAAACTTTCTACCCACTATTTTGAGTTCAGCTAGTCCATCATCCAATATGAACCCTTTGAAGTCTCTCACCTCAATCTCTTGTACTGCATTCCCCTGCACTATATCCTCACTAGATAGGATAGTGTTGAAATCTCCCATTATTAAGCTTGGTCCACTGATTCCAACCATAGTTCCCCTCAGATCCTCCCATAATGCCTTCTTGTCTTGTATAGTATACATCCCATATACACCTCCAATGATAAACTTGGTGTTGTTCTGGTTTATAGTCACCTATCCTATAATATATTGCTTATGTATTTGATATACCTCAAACTCCACCTTTGTCTGATCCCACACTACCCATATTCTACCTCCTGGAGCAGCATCATAATTTGCTATCCATTTTCAATTACTAAACACCTTCTTGATTATTGAATTATCATTTGGTTCCTTGACTCTATTCTCTAGAACAACCATTAATACTACCTTATTCTCTCTACTAAATTTTTTGAGTTCTTTTTGCTTATATATTTTATTCAGACCCCTAACAATCCACAAAATGATATTCATCATCATATAGTAGTTATAGTAGAGTCATCACCTATGTCCGTTTCACTAGGTTGCCCTCTTTTCTCTTGAGCTTCAGAAAGTTGCACAATCTTTTGTGATGTATCAACTAGGTCTTTGAAGGCATTACCAATATTTACCTCGTTCTCATTTACCACTCCCATGTTCTTCTTTGATGCATACTTTCCCCTAGCCATCTGCAATTGCTCTTCATTTTTGTGTTTGCTCTTCACCTCATCACTTTCTAATTCCACTTGTTCCAGTAATCTCCCATGTGCATCAATTTTATCCACTTTAGGATCAAGTACCCTCATAATTATCCATTCTTGTTTCTGATTCTATGCTCGAAATCTTTGTTGTCCTCCCTCCTGGTTCTGCTTCTGTTGGTATTTACATGAATGCCCAATTTGATAACATGTTTGACAGTATTGAGGTTTCCAATCATATTGTATCAACGGTTCAATCACCTTTCCCTTAAGATCATATAGTTTGATTGATCCTGGTAGTGGCCTAGTGATATCCATTTCAATTAATACCGTAGCATATGAAATTCTAACAACCACTATGGTGCATGCATCAGCATATAGGGGTTTGCCCAGACCACTCCCAATTTTGCTTAAATCCTGATTACTCCAGTAGCTCAGTGGAAGCTTTGGGAATTTCACCCATAGAGGAATGGTTTTCTGCACTTCCTCATTGAAATCAAATCCATCTGTCCATGGTCTAAGTATAATTGGCCTATTGTTCAGAGTATACAGTCCATTTATTAACACATCATCCCAATCTTCACAATTGTTTATTAGAATTATAAAATACCCATCATTATGGAAGAGTACCTTCGATTTTTTGATCTTACTCCACTGTCCTGCTATGAATCGTTCAATTGCCCCAATAGTTGGAGTATTTCCAACCACGTACATGATTATCGCTCGATTCCACTTCTGATTTTCCTCAGCTATGTCTTCTTCCAATAATTGCACTACAACTTCTCCTTCCTGTATCACCGGTGGAATATACGCAGGGTTCATTCCTTTTGCTGCAAATTTGTTTTCATGAAGCAAACCTGCCCAGGATCTTCCCCCATTTCCAGTTGGCATTGCTTTCCTCTCGTGCATGTGCTTCTCATCTTCAATTTCCACAATTCATGTTCCATTGCTCTGTTCCTTTAGCAAGCTTACAATTACTATTCCATTGGTCTGTCTTTAACTCGTACTCACTCCTCCAATTGAGACTGGCGAAACATTCACTTTGGTTATCAATTAATTGACTGGGCTCCTTAGTACTGCTGATTGTGGTCAATTACTGCTTAGATCTAGCCAATTTAGATCATTATCACTATCCAGATCCACATCTTCATCTTGCACTTTACCTTTGGCTTTTGCGTGTTGCTTTCCTTGCTCTCTTGTAATGATGACTGTTATTTTCTGTTCTATTACTGGTGTTTTGTTGTGGTTCTTATTTGGTCTCCCTCTTCCTCCCATTTCCGATGAGGGCGTAGGTTAGCTAGCACATAACGTGTGCCGAGATAGAGAGGGCTTTCTATTTTCGAGTGGGACGGGCGCCCCAGACTCGGATCGCCTAAAATTTTTCCGGGCCATCAAATACGACCTAAGGAAAAATAGTCAGCGCCCCTCCATGATCTTTCCTCGTTTTTTGCATTATACGGCCAAAACACTAGAATTCCGCGTGATTCCCATATTTTCGTGTGCAATAGCCCACGCCTTCAGAGTGGGCCGGGCCCCCAGGAATCGGATCGCCTAAAATTTTTCTGGGCCATCAAATACGACCTTAAGAACCATAGTCACCACCCCGCCATGACAGTTCCTCTTTTTTTTTGCGTTTTATGCCCAAAAAACTAGAATTCGGCCTTATTCCCATATTTTCGAGTGTTATAGCTCAAGCTTTCCGAGTGAGCCCGAGCCACCCAGACCCGAGTCGCCTAAAAATTTTCTGGGCCATCTAATAGGACCTAAGGAACCATAGTCACTGCCATGCCATGACCGTTCCTCGTTTTTTAAGTTTTACGGCTAAAAAACTAGAATTTTGCCCGATTCCCATATTTTCGGGTGCTATATAGCCCTCACCTTCCGAGTGGCCCGTGCCCCCTGACCCCGATCGCCTAAAAATTTTCGGGTCATCAAATACGACCTAAGGTACCATAGTCACTGCCCCGTCAAAAAACAAGTATACCGCCCCATTCCTATATTTTCGTGTGTTATAGCCCACGCCTTCCGAGTGGGCCCGAGCCCCATGGACCCCGACCGCCTAAAAGGTTTTTGAGCCTTCAAATACGACCTAAGGAACTATAGTCATCACCCCTCCATGACCGTTCCTCACTTGTTTGCGTTTTACGGCCAAAAACTAGAATTCCGCCCGATTAACATATTTTCGTGTTCCGCCTTCCAAGTGGCTCGGGCCCCTCCGGATTCAGATAGCCTTAAATTTTTCTGGGCCATCAAATACGACCTAAGAAATGATAGTCACCGCTCCGCCATGACCGTTCCTCGTTTTTAACGTTTTGCGGCAAAAAAACTAGTATTCCGCCCGATTCCTATATTTGCAAATGTTATAGCCCACATCTTCCGAGTGGGCCCGACCGTCTAAAATTTTTCCGGGCCATCAAATACGACCTAAGGAACCTTAGTCATCGCCTCGCCATGACCGTTCCTCGTGTTTTTGCATTTTACGGCCAAAAAACTAGAATTTCGCCCAATTCCCATATTTTCGTGTCCTATAGTCCACGCCTTCCGAGTGGGTCCGGGCCCCCCCCCCGGACCTCGATCGCCTTCCTAGTGTGCTATAGCCCACGCCTTCCGAGTGGGCCCTGACCCTCGGACCCAGATAGCCTAAAATTTTTCCCGGCCCTCAAATATGAAATAAGGAACCATAGTCACCTCCCCTCTATGACCGTTCCTCGTTCTTTTGCGTTTTACGGCCAAAAAACTAGAATTCTGCCTGATTGCCATATTTTTGTGTGCCGCCTTCAGAGTGGGCAAGCCCCTCCAGACCTGGATCATGTAAAAATTTTACGGGCCATCAAATACGACCTAAGGAAGCATAATCACCGCCCCGCCATGACCGTACCTCATTTATTTGTGTTTTACGGCTAAAAAATGAGAATTCCACACGATTCCCATAGCCCACGCATTCCGAGTGGGCCTGGGCCCCCCGGAAGCGGATCGCCTAAAAACTTTTCGGGCCATCCAATATGACCTACGGAACTTTAGTCACTGCCCCGCCATGACCGTTCATCATTTTTTTGCATTTACGGCCAAGAAACTATAATTCAGCCTGATTCCCATATTTTCGTGCATTATAGCCCATGCCTTCCTAGTGGGCCCAGGCGCACCGGACCCCGATCGCCTAAAATTTTTTTCGACCATCCAATACGACCTAAGGAACCATATCCAGTGCCCTGCCATGGCCGTTCCTCGTTCTTAACGTTTTGCGGCAAAGAAACAAGAATTCCGCCCAATTCCCATATTTTCATGTGCTATAGCCCACGCCTTCTGAGTGGGCCCGGGCCGCCCGGACCCGAATTTCCTAAAAATTTTCGGGGCCATCAAATACGACCTAAGGAACCATAGTCACCGCCCCTCCATGATCGTTCCTCGTTTTTTTGTTTTACGTCCAAAACACTAGAATTTCGCGTGATTCCCATATTTTCGTGTGTTATATCCCATGCCTTCAGAGTGGGCTGGGCCCCCCGGAATCGCATCGCCTAAAATTTTTCCGGGCCATCAAATACGATCTAAAGAACCATAGTCACCGCCACGCCATGACCGTTCCTCATGTTTTTGCGTTTACGACCAAGATACTATAATTCAACCCGATTCTTATATTTTCGTGCGTTATGGCCCACGCCTTCCTAGTGGGCCCAGGCGCGCCAGACCCCGATCGCCTAAAAAACTTTCGAGCCATCCAATACGACCTAAGGAACCATATCCAATGCCCGCCATGTCCGTTCCTCGTTTTTAAACATTTTGCGGCAAAGAAACTAGAATTCCTTCCATTTTCCATATTTTCGTGTGCTATATAGCCCACGCCTTCCGAGTGGGCCCGGGCTGCCCGAACCCGAATCGCCTAAAAATTATTCGGGCCATCAAATACGACCTAAGGAACCATAGTCACTGCCCCTCCATGATCGTTCCTCATTTTTTTCCGTTTTACGGCCAAAACACTAGAATTTCACGTGATTCCCATATTTTCGAGTGTTATATCCCACGCCTTCAGAGTGGGCTGGCCCACCGGAATCGCATCACCTAAAAATTTTATAGGCCATCAAATACGACCTAAAGAATCATAGTCACTGCCACGCCATGACCGTTCCTCGTGTTTTTGCGTTTACGGCCAAGAAACTATAATTCAGCCTGATTCTCATATTTTCGTGCGTTATGACCCACGCCTTCCTAGTGGACCCAGGCGCGCCAGACCCCGATCGCCTAAAAAAATTTTGAGCTATCTAATACGACCTAAGGAACCGTATCCAATGCCCGCCATGACCGTTCCTCATTTTTTAAAGTTTTATGGCAAAGAAACTAGTATTCTGCCCAATTCCCATATTTTCGTGTGTTAGCCCACGCCTTCCGATTGGGCCCGGGCAACCCGGACCTGAATCGCCTAAAATTTTTCCGGGCCATCAAATATGACCTAAGGAACCATAGTCACCGCCCTTCCATGATCGTTCCTCGTTTTTTGCGTTTTATGGCGAAAACACTAGAATTTCGCGTGATTCCCATATTTTTGTGTGCCATAGCCCACACCCTCAGAGTGGGCCAGGCTCCTCGAAATCGCATCGTCTAAAATTTTTCGGGCCATCAAATACGACCTAAAGAACGATAGTCACTGCCAGGACATGACCGTTCCTCACTTTTTTCTGTTTATGGCCAATAAACTATAATTTAGCCGATTCCCATATTTTCGTGCGTTATGGCCCACGCCTTCCTAGTGGGGCCAGACGCACCAGACCCTGATTGCCTAAAAAAATTTCGAGCCATCCAATATGACCTAAGGAACCATATCCAGTGCCTACCATGACAGTTCCTCGTTTTTTTGCGTTTTATGCCCAAAAAACTAGAATTCGGCCTGATTCCCATATTTTCGAGTGATATAGCCCACGCCTTCCGAGTGTGCCCGGGCTGCCCGGACCCGAACCACCTAAAACATTTTCGAGCTATCAAATACGACCTAAGGAACCATAGTCACCGCCCCTCCATGATCGTTCCTCATTTTTTGCATTTTACGGCCAAAACACAAGAATTCCACGTGATTCCCATATTTTTGTGACCCCACCATGACCGTTCCTCTTTTTTTGCGTTTTACGGTCAAAAAACTAGAATTCCGCCCGATTCCCATATTTTCATTTGCTATATAGCCCTCGCCTTCCGAGTGGGCCCTGACCCCCGGACCCGGATAGCCTAAAACATTTTCCTGGCATCAAATACGACCTAAGAAACCATAGTCACCTCCCCGCCAAGACCGTTCCTCGTTTTTTTGCATTTATGACCAAAAAATGAGAATTCCATCTGTTTCCCATATTTTCGTGTGGTATAACCCACACTTTCCGAGTGCGCCCGGGCGCCACACACCCTAATCGCCTAAAATGTTTTTGGGCCATCCAATACAACATAAGGAACCATAGACAGTGCCCCGCCATGACCGTTCCTCTTTTATTTGCGTTTTACGGCTAAAAATGATAATTCCGCACAATTCCCATATTTTCGTGTGCTATAGCCACACATTCCTAGTGGGCCCGAGCCCCCTGGACGCGGATCGCCTAAAAAAATTTCGGGCCATCCAATACGACCTAAGGAACAATAGTCACCACCTCGCCATGACCGTTCCTCATTTGTTTTTGCGTTTACGGCCAAGAAACTATAATTCAGCCCGATTGCCATATTTTCGTGCGTTATAGCCCACGCCTTCCTAGTGGCCCAGGCACGCCGGGCCCCGATCGCCTAAAAAGTTTTTGGGCCATCCAATACGACCTAAGGAACCATATCCAGTGCACCGCCATGACCATTCCTCATTTTTTAACATTTTGCGGCAAAGAAACTAGAATTCCGCCCAATTCCCATATTTTTGTATGCTATAGCCCACGTCTTCCGAGTGGGCCCGAGACGCCCGGACCCGAATCGCCTACAATTTTTTCGGGCAATCAAATACGACCTAAGGAACCATAGTCACCGCCCTTCCATGATCGTTCCTCATTTTTTGCATTTTACGGCCAAAACACTAGAATTCCGCGTGATTCCCATATTTTTGTGACCCCACCATGACCGTTCCTCAATTTTTTGCATTTTACGGCCAAAAAACTAGAATTCGGCTCGATTCCCATATTTTCGTGTGCTATATAGCCCTCGCCTTCCAAGTGGGCACTAACCCCAGGACCCGGATAGCCTAAAAATTTTCTCCGCCATCAAATATGACGTAAGAAACCATAGTCACCTCCCCGCCACCAACAAACTAGAATTCCATCCGT